AGAGATACCCCCCACATATACACACACACACACACACACACACAGATACCCATACACACACACAGATACCCCCCACAGATACACACACACACACACACACACAGATACCCATACACACACAGATACCCCACACACACACACACACACACACACACACACACACACAGAGATACCCCCCACATATACACACACACACACACACACACACAGATACCCATACACACACACAGATACCCCACACACACACAGATACCCACACACATGTGATTGCACTTTAACGCTTTGGTAGTAGATACAGTTTACATAAAATAAATTACGCTGACTCATACAGTTATTCGTCCTTCTTGTGCTCAACGGCGATGATAGGGGCCAAACAGTTGGCAATCCAAATTGCTCTGATCTAATGTTCAAACAAAAGGTAAGGTGCCCCTCCCCCTACACACACACATACCTCCTCCACATAAATGTATACTCATGTGACCCAACGAGACTCATTGCCTCTATCACCCAATAACAAGAGATTTATGAATAGTAAGAATTTCTGATTAAATGTGTTTGTCATGTGTTTCTTCTCTTCCTCACCGAATTCATAATTTGACTTAGCATACGCCATGTCTTATACATCCCCATACCTTTCTTGACTTGTTGTACGTTTTAGATTTGATATTACTCAACAACACAAGGTAAATCCACAAGATGAATAACATCAGGTGGAATATCTTTGCATGGCATAAATTATTGTTAACCCACTGTTCAACAGAACAATGTAGCCGCTGCATTTGTTTCCACAAAATAATAATGAGAGACACGAATAGATACAGTTGCATGGGGGGGGGGGGGGTCAATTAAGGTTTCTTTAATGTTCCTTGTTTCCGAAACATGGTGGAAAGTATTGATTCTGCAGGGGCCACCCCTGGAACTCGTCTTACACGGGAGTACATGTACATATGGAGAGCAATGTATACATGTACACGTGTTTACATTAATGTCTGTACATTATCGTCATCAGAATCTACAACGCACTACTCATTTGACGTAATTGTATCACGTAATATAGGTGACGGGGAAGTCGATTTCATCCCCGACTATCTGACTGAGATGGCCACACCAAACTACAGTGCGACGACTGCCCGGGAATGGTTCAATCTGGAGGATGCAGACCAGGACGGCTACGTCACCAAAGACGAACTTATTGCTATCGCTCGCAACATTGGCATGAGTCCCGAGAAGGCTGAGGAAACAGCTAATGGGTACTACATGGGCGCGGACGTCAACGGGGACCGACAGCTTGACTGGAAAGGTACAGAGATAAGAGCGGGGCTTTGTTAGAAAGGGGTTAACAATACAAATAACCATACAATATTTTGTTTTCTTGTCGTATGGCCAACACATTTCACTTCAAAAGTTAGGATACAATATAGTGTATACATAAATTACAATTCATCAGGTAACCAGAAGATAAGTCAAGCTACATTATTCACCAAAATATGTAAATTAGAATGAATTATCTTAATATTATCAGGAAGATCGTACCTTATATTGGAATATAACTTATAGCTAATTATAAAGTGAGTCTGGCCTTTATTTGCTGCTGTTGGGATTGAATAGTTTTTCCCACTCTTCTCTAATGGAGGCGACGATCTGGCACCCGGTCTTGATGGCCATGAAAAGGTTTCACGGACTATTGACTATATAAGTCTGTGACTACGTGGGATGTTGACTTTATCATTACATAGGCCTCACGTGCAATTTCTATAATTAATTAATGTTATCGTTTATTCCTTCTGGTTTATTAACGTCTTTGCACACTAGTCCATGGTTATGAGTAAGTAGACATAATAGTATTAGCTAGCAAAAGGGCTAACGGGCAGATTTGGTTGTGGAAGGACTTGGCAAGGCTTTGTGAGGCTATGTTCCTAAAATCGCTATTAAAATTAAAGACGTTTTGAGATGGTAAGGCTGGCACCCAACAGGACTTTGTAAAGCGCAGTAGACAGAAGCATGTGCATAACAAATATGCAACATAGTCTAGTGTTGGTGTTGGCAAGTAGCAGATCTTTTTGAAAAGAAGATGCTGGTTAGTGTACGTCAGGTGAGGTTTTCAGGAGCACTTAACTGATATTTATTTTTTCAGGGGATTACAGGCTAGAAAGTGAATAGGATAGGGTATAATTCGCGTGACAAATGATATGGGCTTGTGAGGAATTAAAAAGCTGGTGGATACGACGGGGTTTACGTTAACGAGGCTTCTGGGCTAGCTTTTAGGTGTTCTATGCATTCTTGTACTATTCAGAACGAAAAATGAATGTGATGCTTCACAACGAACTTGCACCATGACAAGCGTACTCACCTTCACTGAAGTTGTCGCGTATATAACGACCTGTAGCCTACAACCAAGTGTCTGCTGACAAACGGTTAAACACACATTCTAGTATATATCAACTTGGATAAATCAAGTCGTACGTGACAGGCAACTCGCCCGAGGAATATTCTGTAGCTGTTATCGATAGCATACAATATATTTTATATTATGTGTTATACATAATGTATATTGTATGATACATAATGCTTGACATTGAACATGTTATGTCTTACCTATACAATGTATGTAATATAAATTGAAAAAAAAATCTGTGTAATGTATATTATGTATAACGTATGTGAAATATATGGTGTATAACGCCAATAATTGTGCATTGCATTACTTATGCAATATACTGTTAAATGCCTTTTATGCCTATCTGAATGCCTTATTGTTACTCGCACATAAACAAAACCAAATGCAATAATAACTTTTGCTATTTTGGAAGTGATATACTTGGTATGACAATATTCCCCGTTTATATTTTCAGAGTATTCTTCTCTCTTCACGGAGTAAAAGCAGCATTCAAGACTATCCGAATCTCTTCGGGAAAGTTCTGTAAACTTATTTGATACGTTATTGATTATGAACTCTTTTATCATCAATGTTGTGATCTTGTTGTGCATAACATTATTATGAATTCCATGTAGATTTGTGTAACGTTATGTGTGTACGGGGTCCGGGTATAGCGTCACATGATGGCTGCTGATGACGTCACTTCCACGGTTTACTTTCTGGGCATTTATTGTATATAGCATGCCTTATTCGCTGTTAACTCACCTTATACATTATGTTGAATAATTGATTTTCAAAATTAAACACAATTGATACAAAATTTTCAAGTGAAATCATGGTCTGAGTATTTATTTCCAAAAACATGCTTATTAAGCAAGAGAAAGATAAGCAAACAAAATAGCATATGACTCATTATAAAAAAGCAACGGATTGCAGTTAAAGATAAGTATACTACATGTTCTAGAAATGTACATATACAAAATACAAATAAACAGTAGCTTGTAATAAGCTAATTAAGTATACCAAAACTGCTAGTTATTAAGAAATAAATAACAAAATCAATTAATTAGATCACTGTATATCACAACGACTGGGAATATGAGATATATACACATTATGCAAAATTGAACATTCAAACCATATATATTTACAATTTGGACCAGTAACTAACTACAAAGTCACAGTAATTTTTAAATATTGAATGCTATTTCAACAAATTCGATTACATCATAATATGCAAAGTCACTAGATCACAGCGACGGCCATTTTATACACGCTTAAGGTTCAACAAGCCCCCTAATAGATGATGTAGTCAACTAAAATTCCAACCCCCTGGTAAGTCATATTCAAAGACCTCAATTACAAATCGGAACTCACATATGTTATTTATATATATTGAACTTGTACATTGACCATACAACAAATACATAGCCAGGTTAACGTAGTCAAAAAAAGGCATTAAGGCTGATGTCTTTATAAAAATAGTTCACCGGACTTATAACATGTCAATCTCTTTTGCAACCCTACTGAGTGCTGGGAAATGACTCATAATCTAAAGTTTATTTATATACCTAGGTCATGCGGAGCTTTATTTCTCTTCTACTAACTGTTGAGAGGAATTCCGACCACAAATAAAGATAGATGTTGCCATGCGAAATCACTAAAATCATAATAAAATCTCCTGGTAATACATTTTAGCAAATTTTAAATAAGAAAACAATGGCTAAGTAACCTTGATCGATAAATGAACTTGAGATGATGTGCCATTTGATAACATTATGTGGTTATATGAATGCGCTAGACATGTAAGAAACATTGAAGCTGAAAAGTACAATAATGTTTACAAGTCTAGCTCTTTTATTACAATATTGAATGTTAAGGAAGGACATTTTATATGAAGTTTAAGTAGTATGTATGGTCAAATGGATATGGATATACACATATATACCGTTAAAATATGTTACTCTGACGTTTTACTATGATTTTTGTACATTTCCATAGCAACAATCATCTACTTGTAAGGCCGGTATGCCTCTCCACACATAGTTAAAGAGAAATAAAGCCCCGCTTGACCTAGGTATATAAATGATCTTCAAATAACATGTAATTTCGAAACATTCAGTTGGGTCACTTAGGAGATTGACATGTTATAAATCTGGTGAGCAACTTTTATCATTACATCAGCCTTAATGCCGTATTTTTGACTTCGTTGACCTGCTTATATACCTTTTTAATAGCTCATGTACAAGTTCAATGCATTTAAATTACATATACATATTCCGATTTGTGATAAGAATATTTGAATATGACTTGCCATGGGGTTGAAATTTAGGGTGATTATTACCTCTTTTAGGGGGCTTGTTGAGCCTTAACATGTCAACTTATTGAATCACAGGTAACAATGATACATTCAGCAGATAACATTCACATTATGTGTCTTGACAGACGTTTTACTGGCGAAGGGAGGTAACTGTAACATCTTTAAACAATTGCCATGCATGTGTTCATGTATTGCTTATGTGGCAGGGAAGCATAACATTTTTTTTTTTCGAAATGTGTTGTGTCACGAGGCTGAACTAGAACAATAACACAACAACAAAGGTTGACGGACTTTCACACAATAGTTATCGTCTCCTTTAGTTACTAGAAACTCGGGTTCGCCCATCAAACTTAAAATAATAGAGGCATGAAACGATGGTTGTTTTGCCATGAAACTCGAGCGTTTTAGAGAATAAACAATATTTTAATCTCAAATCATGTAAACAACAAATTCAGATCTACTACGCTGATATTTCGATGATATAACAAATTGTTAAGTCAATGCACTTATCGATCAAAAAAATGATAGGATAAAAAACAACTTTATATAGCACATACATATATCTATAATATTGTCTAGATACTTTCCAGGGACGCAACTCCGACGATACTGGACAAGATGAAACACATTTTGTTTACTACGACATATCTGTTCATTCTATAAATATTCCATACAAGAACAAAGGCTTTCCGATATCACACACACAGAAGCAAGGGAAATAACTTTGGACATTATGTAGAGCATCAACCAAAAACATCGAATAACACTTTAAAATGTGATAAACATTATATCCAGCATTTAAAGATACAATCACATATAGTTACCCAGTGTGATGAATTACTGCAGTGGCTTGAACTATAGAATATAGATATAAGTTGGGGAAATACTATATTTTCAATTGGAACATATGGTACAAAAACAATTATATCGCAATATCAAATAATACCAGTTAAGAGTTTATGACTGCAGGCTTCCACAATCATGTTATTTAGTTTTACTGGAACCATCTGTCACAATCATTTATAAAAGTTTAAGAAAACAGAGAAAAAAATCTAAAAGGTAACTGAAAACGTCCAAGTCAATAGAAAAGGGTTTAAGAAACATCATATTTTAAAAATGTATTTATAGGAAACTGTAAATCTTTGTCAGTGTTACTTGTACGTAGTCAAAATCGTACGATCGACATTTTCATGATTCATTTTCTTTTAGCACGGTCAGGTATCAAAGGAGAAACAATCGTGTGCATCTCTTGTTAATCATTTATATCCATGGACAAAAAACAGTGATTGAGGCCTTTAACTATAAATTTTTTATTAGATTTAAAAGGGGCTTTTGAATCACTTAAAAACAGTGTCCTTTTAAATGATATAGGAATCAAAAGATGTGACCCAAAATAGCGACTTGGTTAACTTCGAATCACGGCAATTGATCACAGAAAGTATCAATATCAGGAAGTTAATCAGAACCAATGTGTATTGCATAATGAGTGCCTCAGGGATCTAGAACGTTTATAAATAACTTATCTTTGGGTGTTAAATCCAACATCGGCATGTATGTAGGCGATTATAGATACGTCTGGTGTAAACATATACATTGTTCATTTAGAATGTCACCATAACTATTCTAACCTTGAGATTCGGAGTGATAAAATGAACGTTTTGTTAATGTAGGTTTTATTGCATATTAGTTGCGTCAAACAGGTATAATCACATCATGCTTGCACTTCGAATGTAGATATGAGTGATGTTCCATTTAAGCAAGTTCATCATAAAAAAACTTTGGAGTGTTTGTATAAATGATATCAAACTTAGACGGCGCTGAGGAGTGAGTCAAAATTAGTTGGAGACTGAAGTAATGCATCAGCAAATTCCATATTGGCCCATGTATTAGGCCAAGGTCTGTCGCTTGCTGCCTTGGGCCTATGTGACAGACCGAAGCCTAATCACTTGGCCAATGCGGGTTTTCCATGAAAGCTAGCCCATGTTCTTCATCAACATGTGTCTGTAGAAAGTTTGTGTTGCATGTTTATCTGTAGGCCGTCCACATCTTTCAGTGAAAATGGTGATATTCAGATCAAGCTTTTGAATACTAAATAAACTGTAAAGGTATTAGGCCAAGGTCTGTTCCTTGCGGCGCTGGGCCCACGTGACAGACCGAGGCCTAATCACTAGGTCAATGTGGAATTTGCTGATTAATAACAATGTACTTCTCATTAGAGGCATTATAATGATATTTATGGTACTACTGAACAGAAATTTTCTATTAAGAACATGAACGTTTACGATCTGAAAATCGATTTCCTTATGCTGATCAATTTTCAAAAATAGTAATTGTCCCTGTTGATCTTATTGTAAGTCATTATCGAATCAGCAGATGTGAAAAGACGGTAGTGTTAACATTTCTTGCTGGTTAAAGACAGTACATTGTCGTTCAACATGAAAGCAAAATTAAATATTTTTAGAAAGCTTAAAGCCTATCAAAGCGAAAATATCCATGTTGACAGATCACATTATAAGGCTGAATTCTTGGGATACAGTGTTTTAATAATTAGATGAAGTATAATTTTAGACATCTATTAAAGTAAACAGCTGTATTATATTATAAATCTTATAAACACTTCTGTATGTCTACTGTGTGCGTTGTGTCATATGTAAACCTGATAAGAATTAAATGCTCGACACAAAAGACGTAAACGTAATGGAATAATTACGATACGTTTTCATTTCTAATCTTCCAATAAATAATGCCAAAAATGACCGTTTGTGTCTTTTGAATATAAAGAAAGATATCGATCGATCGCGTGCCTACAACAAATCATTACCTCGACTCGTTAATTGTCAAAAATCAACTGCAATCATTGGATGACACTTACACAAGCGTACACCAATGCGGAAGTTGATAGTTCATCTGTTGTGAAATACTTAGTAATACAAGGGAACACACCAGTTTGATACTTGGTGTCCTGTCATAGTGAAAGTCGTGGCGGCAACGTGACAGAATCCGCTATATGCCTTTTCAGCTGTTACGAATGAGGTTGATTTGCAAAGTAAGTAAATACTAACATTGTTATATTATTGCATTTATTTGATATATATGTCACAAATACATATATGTTTATGCATATTAAATTATATTTGAATAATTATCACAATGATGTAAATCAAATTGCATATCAACGATTTACCACATTGTTGGTACATGCATCAGGTTTCTAGGTCTGTAAAAAGTTAAATCACAATCATAGAATCAAATGCAAGAAAAAAGACAATTTATTTCGTCAACATGGATGTGTTGTAAGATGTCAGGCAAGCTAGAGCATCAAGTTCGCATGTAGGTTTGGTTTGGTTACACACTTTAGGTCATTTGAGGATATGCCTTCATGCGTATATGTGTGTTGGTGGTGGTATGTTAAGAGTGCTACATCATGCTACATACAATGACTTTTCCATTCCGTGACATTATTTACACTGACAACAGGTTGATATTTTAACACATGCTGAACATC